CCCCGCCCCGGCCCGTGCTCTGCCAGCGGCCCTCCGGGGGCCTGCCCGCCAGATGCATTATAGATGAGGGGCCCAGCGGGCCATGCCTGCCTGGCATTTCAGAGCCACTAATGAGGCCGGCCTCGTGCTCCCCGCAGCAACACACGGCCCCCAGCGCCCCTGGGCCCTCGATCGCCGAGAGGCACAACCTGCAGACAGGGGCCCCAGTCCAAGCCCACCACGAGGCACGAGCAGCATCCGGGAGAGGAAGGGCCAAGGGCATGGACTTGTGGCTCATCGTTCACTGACTGCATGCCCCTGGGCCAGCCACCTCCCGTCTCCGAGCCTCAGTTTCCTTATCTGTAAAATGGGGACGGTTAGCGTCTCAGCGCTGGAAAGCTGGACTGAATGGGAATGAAATAATTCAGGTGAGGTGCTTGACCCACCTCTGACCAAAGTCCCCTCCGCCACAGGACAAAGCGCTGGATTCAAATGCAGCCTCGACCCAGGGCCGGAGCCTTCCCGGCTCTGCCTTGGTTTTGACTTCTGCACCGGGGCGTGAGGCCAGGAGCAGCACCACCCTGGGCTGGGGAGATGCTGTAGCAGGCTGGCGGCACCGTGTCCCCACTGGGTTCTGCCTCCTCCCTGCAGCCGCCTGGTTTTCAGGCCGAGGTCAACTCCTCTACCCAGGGCCATTTTCAGAAGCCCCCGCCAAGCCACTCCCCTCCACGACACCACTCCAAGTCCCGCCCCTCTGCACCCGAATCCATCTAAAAGGGGGAGGGGGCTGTTGTCATGGCGCAGCGGGCTGAACCTGCAATGCCTCATCCTTATCAGAGCGCCGGTTCAAGTCCCGGCTGTTCTACTTCCAATCCAGCTCCCTGCTAATGCATCTGGGAAGCGGCGGAAGATGGCCCAAGCGGCTGGGCCCTGCACCCACATGGGAGACCGGGAGGGACCTCCAGGCTCCTCATTTCAGCTTGGCCCAGCCCTGGCCATTGTGAACCAGTAGATGGATTCATTCTCATTCTCTCTCTCTCTTTCTCTCTCTCTGCCTTTCAAATACTTTTTTTTTTTAAAGATTATTTATTTTGGGGTCAGTGCTGTGGCATAGAAAGTTAATCCTCTGCCTGCAGTGCTGGCATCCATACGGGCGCCGGTTCGAGTCCCGGCTGCTCCACTTCAATTCAGCTCTCTGCTGTGGCCTGGGAAAGCAGTAGAAGATGGTCCAAGGCCTTGGGCCCCTGCACCCATGTGGGAGACCCAGAAGAAGCTCCTGGCTCCTGGCTTTGGCCTGGCCCAGCCCTGGCTGTTGTGGCCATTTGGGGAGTGACCCAGCAGATAGAAGATTGATCTCTCTCTCTCTCTCTTTTTTTCTGTATCTCATTCAAATATGTATTTACTTTTAAAAGATTTATTTATTATATTTAAAAAGGATTTATTTATTTGAAAGGCAGAGTGACAGAGAGGGAGAGACACAGGGAGAGAGCTCTTCCGTCTGCTGGTTCACTCCCCAAACGGCTGCAACAGCCGGGGCTGGGCCAGGCTGAAGTCAAGTCCAGAACTCCAGCCAGGTCTCCCATGCAGGTGGCAGGGGCCAAGCACTGGGGTCCTGTTCTATTGCCCCCAGGAGCATTAGCAGGGAGCTGAATTGGAAGTGGAGCCGCCGGGACTTGAACTGGTGCTGGTACGGGATGCTGATGTCATGAGCGGCAGATTCACCTGCTGGGCCGCCACGCCAGCACCTTGAATCCATCTTAGAAGCTCAGCCCCCACTGGGGGACTTCCGGATGCCCGAGGGCAGCACCAGAGTCACCCACCGTCCACTGCTCCCCCTCCCACTGGGCTCCCTCTTATACTCGCACACCTGCTCTGAGCTTCTCCACGGCAGACAACCGTGGACAGAGGGCGGTGGGTAGGAGATGCCAGCCATGGCCGCATCTGGCCTCCACCAGGCCTCACTAATGCCTTGATCCTAGCCACCACCTCTTTGGCCTTTTTCAGAAACAGGTGGAGAGGGGCCAGCATTGTAGTGCAGTGGGTTAAGCCGACGCTTGGGCCTGGACGCCGATATCCCCTGTAGGAGCGCCGGTTCAAGTCCTGGCTGCTCCTCTTCCGATTCTGCTCCCTGCTTATGAGCCTGGGCAGGCAGTGGCGGGTGGCCACAAGGGTTCGGGAAGCATTTACTAGGTATGGGTGGCTGAGGTCAGAGACACAGCAGAACAGCCTGGCCCTTGTGGGGCTCGTGCTAGGAAGTGGGGCTGAGCCAGGCGGCTTCGCGCTGCAGAGCCCTGAGGACTGGTTCCGCTCCACTGAAGGCAGCTCACTGGAACCACATGCTGACCACGCAGTGGGGCCACCAGTGAGGACAAGGGACCCGTCCAAGGTCACACAGGCGGCAGAGGCAGGTTCTAATCCAATCCATCAGACTCAGATCCATGCTGTTCCCAGCAGCCCAGGAACCACCACTAACATGTGCTCTACAGGCATGGAAGGCAGCAGGGGAGGACAGGAAGACGGGATGTGGTGAAACCAAGGAGAGCGGACGCACAGAGGGTGCTGACCGGGCCTGCTCCTGGTGGCCAGAAACGCAGGGCACAGGAGGAACCCACCCCAGGTTGGAGACGGAGGTGGAGCTAGGCCCCGAGTGCCAGGACAGTGTGGCCAACCATCAGAATGGCCTCCAGTGATAGAGCACTGACTCCGTGCTGGACACAGGCTGGGGCAAAGCAAGTGTCTCCCAGGGCCTGGGGAAGGAGGGTCGCCGCACAGCAGTGCCACCAGGGCAAGGCGCCATGGACAGTGGGGACCTGCCCAAGGTCGCACCACTGGTCAACCCTGCGTCCTTGTCGCTAACCTTTTGTTCAGGGCTCCGCCGACCCAGCCTCCCGTCTCCACGCCTCCCCCCAGTGCATCCTTAGCTCAGATTCTCCCTAGGCCTAGGGACTTTGGGACAGGGAATGAGATTCTGGGCTGTGCACGGCCCTGCTCTGCTGCTGTGTGTCTCTGGGTAAGTCACTTGCCTCCTCTGGGCCTCACTGTCCTTGTCCGCAATTAGGTAGTAGCTCGTCCCTAACTCAGAGACACGGTCAAGAGTCCATGAGACGATGCAGGTCAAGCACCTCGGGGCCTCCAGGGCTTGTGGATGCTTGGCAAGCGGGGCTGCCTGCCGACGTGACTACTGAATCCTTGAAGGAAAGGCCGGCAGCCTCCTGCCTCTGCCTGGCCTGCCCTCTCTGCCCCCCACCCTGGGCACGGCCCAGCACCTGCCAGCGGCCCCCGTGAGTCAGACACAACCAACCCAAGTGCAGCCGGAGGCGAAGCTGCTGCGGCACGGGGCGGGAGTCTGGCGCGGTGGCTGGGATGCCAGGTGGGACCCCTGCATCCCTGTCGGAGCACCTGGGTTCAAGTCCTGGCTCCTCTGCTCCTGACGCCAGCTTCCCGCTAATGCACACCCTGGGAGGCAGCAGGGGATGGCTCAAGCGCTACCCATGTGGGAGACCCGGATGGAGTTAGAGGCTCCTAGCTTTGGCCTGGCCCCAAATTATGAGAATCTGGGGAGTCAACCAGTAGGTGGAAGATCTCTGTTTGTCTCTGTCTCTCTGTATTTGAAATAAATAAAATAAAATAAATAAAAATCCAAAGATCTCACAAGGGATAGACATGAGTTCTCTTTTTCTAATACATGAATAACAAAACACCCCTTTTTCTTCTTCATTAAGTCAAAGTAAGATTGGTAAATGTCACCTGTAGGAGAGATTCAAATGGATTGGCACAGGCAGCGAGGGAATTAACCCAGAGAGGGAGGTGACGGGCTCCAGGTTGCACAGACAGCATCAAAGAGAAGTAAAGGCAGGCCCTGGAGCTCAGCCTGGGTAGCCCGTGGCCTTCCTGTCCCAGGTGGGGCTTCCCAGGAGGGCCCTGTGGGGCCGCGGTGCCAGACAGGAGTCGGCAGCAGAGGGGCGCTGCAGGATGCCCTCCGCGGGCGCAGGAAGCAGCAGAGCTGCTGGGGGCTTCCCTGTCGGAGGGGCAGGACAGCAGGGGCAGCCAGCTGGGCCCAGGGGATGTGGTGTCACGGAAGCCAGGAGGGGCCGCCTGCGGGGGCGTCAGGGTGCCGCTGCACCTCCGCCCACCGTCGTCAGTGCCGGGGAGCTGCAGACACAGCCGCCTCCCTGTGCCTCCTGCAAAGAGAGGGCAGCCTCAGACACACACGGGATCCTGAGGGCCAGGCACGGGGTGCGACGGGGGGCTTGGGGGCAGCGGAAAGGTGAGGGCACCCTCAGGCCAGCCAGAGGCGCCCTGAGGTGCGAAGACATGCAGAGTGTGAAAGGGAGGGCCTTGCGGCGAGTGCCTGCCACGTGCCAGGCCCAGTTCTGTCGGGTTGGATGGGATTTTTTAAAAAAGATTTTTATTAATTTGTTGGGAAAAGCAGAATTGCAGAGAGAGAGAGAGAGAAAGAGAGAATCTTCTATCTGCTAGTTCATTCCCCCAAATGGCTGCAGTGGCCAGGACTGGGCCAGGCCAAAGCCAGGAGCCAGGAGCTTCATCTGGGTCTCCCATGTGGGTCCAGGGGCCCAAGTACCTGGGCCATCCTCCGCTGCTTTCCCAGGCGCATGAGCAGGGAGCTGGATGGGAAGTGGAGCAGCTGGGACTTGGACCGGCGCCCATGTGGGATGCGGGCACTGCAGGCAGCAGCTCTACCCACTATGCCACAGTGCCAGCCCCGACTGGGTTGCTTTTTAAAAAAGCAACTTGGCACTCCAGGCATTTTAATCCCATTTCATAGACGAGAAATCTGAGGTTCCGAGACACTGGAGGATTTGTTCAAGGTCTCACAGGCAGCGGCAGCAGAGCTCGGCTACGACCCCGATTTGCCGATTCCCCAGCTGAGCTCTTGGGAGAACCGTAAGGAAGAATGCGTGCGATCCGGGAAGGGGCTGCCCAGCCCCCGGTCCACAGAGGACGGCTGCAGGGTTGCTGAGGCCCGGCCTGGTGGCAGAGGGGGTCAGCCCAGTACTCACCACACACTCCGACGAGGGGAGAAGGACTTGTCCACCCTGAAACACAGCAAGAGGGGCAGCCGGTGAGGGACACCCCCTTCCCCCAGCCTTGCCCAGTGTCGCACGCTCCCCCACCCCAGGCCAGCGTGCGGTCACTGTCTCCCTTGGGCCACGGGCCCCTAATGTCTGATTAAGGACCTGGGACGCCGTGGGGGTTAAGAAGGAGGGAAGAGATGCAGAACTGGGGGCAGCGGGGCGCGGAGCGTGGGCTGTGGGGTGTCGGCAGGGGTGGGGGCAGCAAGGGCGTTCCTGGGACAGCTGGAGCTGGACAGGCCGAGGCTGGCCGAGGCCAGCTCAGAGCATCTGCAGACCGGATGTAGGGCGTACTGGCTGTGTGCGGGTCAGAGGGCCCTGAAGGGCCCTGCTCCCGTCATCAAGCCTGGAGCTGGGCCTCACTCCGGTCCACCCGGGGGACAGGGCCTGGGAATCCGGGCTTCCTCCCCACCCCTCCCGCCCCGCCCCCGAGTTTATGGGCCAAGCCCAGACTTTGTCTTCCGCAATCCCTGTAGGTCCAGCCTCTGGGCCAGGGCAGGGCCAGTGCCCCCCTCCAAGTTCTTAGCCCCGCTGACTTCCGAGGGTACCTTGGGGCTGGGGGGAGCTGCGGGGGCTCGGCCCTCCTGCTGAGCGTGGGGCCCAGGGCCTGGGCATCTGTTGAGACAACAAACACCTCCTGTGCCCTGCCCGGGGGCAGCAAGGCAGTGGAGAGGGGGCCAATCCGGACCCCACCAGCTAGGGGCTGTCTTTTGGGGGCTCCCGGGGAGGGCAGCTTAGGTGGAAAGTGAGGCCAGAGAGGACACGACTCACTCAAGGTCATACAACAGACCCTGGCCCCACCCCTCTGGCTGCCCCTCAGTGGCAGCTGAGCCCAGCCCAGGCTGACCGTGGGCAAGATCCCAGACAGGGGCAGGCGGCCCTCCTGCCTCCCACCCTGCCAGCCCTCGGCACGGTCCCTGGGGGCTGAGCATCCGGGGAAGACATGCACAAGCCCCAAGCGCTCCACACCCCAAAGGTGGGTCCTGGGGACCCTGCGATGGCCAGGAGGTGGGGACTGGCGACAGCCACGGAGCTCCTTCTCTGACTGGCCTTCCTGTGCACCACATTCCCACCTTCCAGAAGAACCCCCCCCATTCCGCCTCTGCACCCCTCGGAGGGGACTCTTGAGGTCAGAAGGGACAGTGGCCCTAAGACTGCCCGGCCATCACTCTCAGTCGCCTCCCCGAGGGCCAGGCGCCCGAGTGGGACAGCCCAGTTGCTCGGGGGTGCCCAGGGTGGACCAGGGCCTGTTGAGGCTTCTAGGTAGCCTCCCCCAAAGCCCACAGCAGTGTGGGCAGCAGGGCCTGCCCTGCCCCCACCTACCTGCCAGACACACACAAATGCCTTGAGCCCAGTGATGCCCTCCCCGCCCGTGCACATGGCCACCCAGGCGGAACACCCCGCACTGCACGCTGAAACACACCCAGATTCACCGCCACCACACGCCCTACACGCACTGGGGTCAACCACTCACCCCACGCTCAAGCACAGATTCACGGCCACAGAACCAGTGCAGCCTAAGGCGGCAGCGCGCACACGCACACACAAGTGCATGCACTTGCAGCGCACGGGGACACGCGCGCGCGCGCGCACACTCACACGCGCCGCACGAAGCCAAACGCGCGCACCTGCGCACCTACCCTCCGTAGGCTCCGAAAGTGAAGCTGCGCTTCCGGCCGCTCATGACGCCGCCGCCACCGCCACCGCCACCGCCACCGCCACCGCCGCCACCACCGCCGCCACCGCCGCGCGGTCCGCGCCCGCCCGGCCGCCCCGCCCCGCCCGGGTCACCTTGGCAACGCGGTCGCCCCGCCCCCCGCACAGCCCCGGGATTGTCTGCGCCCCCGCGGGCCGCCGTCCAGCTGCGGGGCAGCCGCGCAGAAAGGGCCGCTTGTTCGCGGCCGGCGGGGGCTTCGCTGGACTTTCCGAGCGGGGCCTCGGCCGGGGGTGCGCAGACACCTCCACCCTGCCACCATCGGTCCAAGGAGGAGGCCTGACGTCGGGGACTGGGCTGCGGACACTGGTGGGAGCCACACCCTCTTCCATGCTCCGCCCCAGGCAGGATCCCACCACGGACCCAGAGGAGACCTTGGAAGCCAGGGTCAAAATGGTCTGCACCCTGGACAAAGCCTGGCCCTGCCTGTACCTCGATTTCCCCATCTGTGCAATGGGAGTCATTCCACCTGCCCTCCAGTCCTTGTGATGAGCAAGGAGTTAATGTTGCTCATGCCCATGCAGCCTTCAGCCCAGGGCCTGGCGCGCGGCCAGGGCTCAGCCAATGCCAGCACCGAGAGCCCGCGCAGTGGGTCACACGCTCTGTGCTTTGGGCCGACAGATGAGTGAGTGAAGGAACAGCCCCAGAAGCCCTTCCACTGCCCAGTCTCACCCCCTTCTCCCAGGAGCCCCCAGGGCCTAAGCCAGGAGGAGGACCAAAACTGACTCGACAGCTTTGCAGGAGCTGGGCTCTGCATCCTGCAGCCACTCCCGCAGTCGCTGCACACACATTCAATCTCTCTTCTGCACGCAGCTTGCCCAGAGCTCACAGGCCCCATGCTGTGTCAGTGACCACTGCCCACCCCTGAAACACCCCTCTCCTTGTAGTAGAGAGAGGTGGGATTCTCCTGCCCCCCCCCCACCGCGCCCAGGGAGGCCCCCAGAGCCTTGAGGTTTTCTGCTTAAAGGAACTGAGGGGAACAGGTGCAGTGGGGGACTGCAGAGCAGGGGCACGGGACCGCGCGCAGGGACTTCTGCCGCCTTGGCGGAACGGGGCCGGCTCAGTCTGCTCCATCTTCGGCTGGCCCAGGACTGGTCTGGCAGGGGGCTCCAGTCGGCCTTCCCCAGGCAGGTTTCCCCATTTCAGATAGGAGGAAACTGAGGCCCTGGTTTACAGAAATTTCTCTCTTGGGGAGCCGTCCCAGCTCCCTCTCTGCTCCCCACACACCCTCAGGAGCCCCCTGCAGAGCTCAGAGCCTGTGCAGAGCAAGGGGCATTTCCTCACCCCTGCAACCACCCGCCGCCTCGGTCTGCAGCCCTTGGAGGAGGGTCTGGCGGCCGCTGGCAGAGCGCTCCAGTGCCGGGCGCTGGGGCCTCTCTGCTCGGGGCAGGCTGAAGAGTCCGGGGTGCAGGCACCGCCCGAGGGCAGTGTGGGAAGCAGTGAGGTTCACTCGAGGAGAGAGGGCGTCCTCAGTCCATCCGTCCTTCCTTCCCTCCCTCCCTCATTTTGAGGTAACAGGTGCACGGGCCCCAGAGAGGTGGGGGCGGGTCTAAGGTTCTAAGGGACCCAAGGAGCAAGGCCGGGGCCGAGTGTGGGATGCCCAGTGCCAGCCCCACCAAGGCTGCTGCACACCCTTGGATCTGGACTCAGCCTCGCCAGTCTGGCCTTTCAGTGGGGAGCACTCCCGAGGGGGTTCTGCGTGCCCAGTTGGCACGGTGGCCAAGGGGCCTCCAGCATGCCAAGTCTCCCAGCTGGGGCCTCGCGATGCTGGGACAGTGGGCCCTTGAGAAGAGCCGTGGGGGCTGCAGGGTTCCCACCGAAGACAAAGAGCCCAGTGTGGGCTCGGCCTCTGGGCTCTGACCAGCTGCAGCTGCCTCGGTGGCAAGGATGGGGGTGGCGGGGGTGGGCAGTGGGGGCGCAGCAGGACACTTCCTAGCCAGCTCCTCGTCCCCTGGGCAACAGCAGAATTTACATGCACCTTGTGGACCTGCAAGGCCTCATCCGAGATTCTGCCCTCCCCATCACGGCAGGAGCTGCAGGTGATGGCCGAGCACAGGTGCAACGAGGTGTGCGCCCACCCACGTGGGCAGCCTCAGAATCCTCCTGGGTTGAAGTCCCAGGTCTCCCTCCTGTCAGCTGGGTGCCCTTGGACAAGACTTAAACTTTCTGTGCCTTTGCTTCTTCACCTGCAAAACGGGGTTGGTGAAAAGAACAGTGCCTCCTCGGAAGGGCTTGGCTAAGAATTAAACATAATTGCTGATGAGGAAGCAGTAGGAACAGGATTGACACCCAGCATGTGCTTGCTAAGTAAAACATTTGCTGCCGTGTCGTCTGTATTCGGCGGAACTATAGGCAATTGTCATTTTTATCAGGCTAGCAAAGACTTATTAGGGAGAAGCCCAAAACAAGCGAAATGGCCATCCAGAGATCAGATAATGGGCCATAAGTGATGGCTCATTTATGTCATGCAATGTGGGGCAGGTTTTTATGTGGGCAGGTGGAACAACCTCCACCACACAGGCACACGCACATGCACGCCCACACCCACACGTGTACAGATGCACACACGCACACCTGCACAAGCACACACACGCAGGCAGTGTCATGAGCAACCAGTGGCTGGAGCAGGCTCTGGCGACTCTGAGCCCCGTCCGTGCGGCTTCAAACGCATCATTCCGTTCCCCACCGGGATAGGGAGCCAGCTTCCTTCTCCCTTTGCCTCTGGTCTCTCACCTAGACAGGAGAGCCAGGCTGCCTTCCAGGGGCCGTGCCCTCTCTCTCTAGGAGAAAGCTGCGCCTCTGGGCTGCCCGGATTTGCACCCCAGTTGTTCAAACACGTGCCAGGCTGTGTGAGGGAGGAGAGGCTGCAGGGGTGGAGGGGCAGAGAGCTCTCTTCAAGTTCACCCTGCTTTGAACCCTGGGAGTTCCACCCACCTGCCTCCAGTTTTCCTTCCCACTGGCAGGGGAATTCAAGGGCAGACTCCTGGGAAGATCTCAGACCCGAGGTCCTGATGGGACTGCGAGCACCAACTCTTGCCAGGGTCCCCAGCACCCTGTCCCCGACCCTGCCCTCCTAGGGGCATCTGCCCGCGCCCCCTGGGCAGGACGCGGGGCTGTACTCGGCCTCCTGCCGCAGCCCGGCAGCCTCCTGTGTGCTTTGCTCTCATCACCTGTCCTCTGCGGGTCTCCATTTGCTCATCAGGTAAACACCCAGCCTCACTCTGCTGTGAAAGACATAACGATGGAAAAA